ATTAGAGTTTAGCACAAGGGACAGAAAGGTCACATGGCCTTCTCATATGATTAACGTGTTTGTGAAAGAAAATGAAAACTAAAAGGAAAAGGCAGATCTGAAGGCCTGATCTCAAAATTGCCTTTTCTTAATTTCGACCCCCCCACTTTCTGCATAACTGTATAACTTGCGTGCTGTGCTCATCCGATGGCGCAAGATGTAATTCACTAGTCTATCCAACCAGGCTGCTGGTGAAAGCGTTTTGTTTATTAGATTCACAAACGTTACTTGAAAGAAGCCATTCTGTTTAACATTTTCTCTTCTTGCACTACAGCTGGGTCAGTGATATTGTTGGGGCTTTAAGTGGAAGAAGAAATACTCATTGTGAGACTTTGTATCATAAAAAGATACATACTAAGAGGCAAGCTTACTAGATTACGCAATTCCAAATAATTACATTTTTGACATCTGGTAATAAACGAGCGACTGTTCTCATATTATCAGTTTAATTACATATAATTTGATAGTAATTCAGTGATTGTCAGTGCACTATGTGGCAACACCCATGTTACAAAAAGTTTGCATTTTTTATGAAAGGAAGTTCTCATGAAATTATTAATGGTCATTGAATATTTACTGGCCTCATCAGTCATCACCTGCCATGGTGTCAGACACACAATTAGGAGCCACTTTCACATAGTTGACCTCCAAAATATGTGTAAAAAGTTGTGCCACTGCCCCAGTGAAAGTGGCATCTGTGAGGCTACAGTTGTGCCACTATTGTGGAAGTTCTGACACACGCAGGGAGTTTTTCCCCCCACAGACACGCCAGCGTGCCCCTCCAGCCAAGGTGAAGAGCAGAGCTGCGCACAAAGGAAGAGTTGTTGTTTCCCTGGAGCACAACTGCTGGAATGAATATCTCCTCAACAACAGTTCATTTAGCAGCTGCCTGGCTGTGTGGCTGCTGTCGTCTGCGATTCCCGCAGCTGTTTTTAGAGTTTGTGCGTCTCCAGCGAAACTTTAACGGACGCTGATCTACCAAGTGAGCTATTTTTGGCGAGAAATTAAACTTCAGCGTGATGGCGCTGGGGGGTCACCACTGTCCCGGCTCCTGTCTCTGGCGTTTGAAAATACAGATTCACATGGGGTCATGAGATGCTGAGCCATTTTTTTCCCAGCTAGCGGATAGGCAACAAAACTCTTCTAACCTGTAGCCATGGGTTTGAAAAGAGGCTGCTGATCTAGATGCAGTTAACAGTCAACCAGAGGAAAGCAGTTCTCCCTGGAGCATTCCTTCTTAAAACGAGATACTGCGTCTTTTTACACATGTCACATCAACAAGGGAACTTGCTCTGCAAGCAGGGAGTGGGTCTGCTTTATTAGCTAAATTGGCTTAGAAAGAACAGCTGGATATTTATTGGTAACAAGAGGAAGGCAGGGGTGGCAGCTTAATTCAATAAGAGAATGTGTCAATTAGAAAACCATTTCCTTAGGGACTCCAGTGGAGAAGTGGTTATCAGATTTCTCCTCCGCCAGCGCCGGGGGCTGCAGGCCCACAAGCCAGCGATGATGACAGGGTTCACCACAGAGCAACAGGAAGGAACACGTTCATCCGACAAAGCAGTCGGGTCACCAAAATAACTTAGAACCGGCAGCGCTGGCCAAAAAGCTTCTTGTTGTAATAAGTCAAAGTGGAATTGTGCAGGCCTCACACACAATTAAAAAATGTATATATATATATTTCAATGAAATCTACAAGCCACATGCTGATCACAAAGTTTCAAACTCAGTGCTTGATGGCTCCAAGGAATCTTCTCGAAGAACCTCACCCGTTAGCAACTTGCATTTGCGTTGAAGTTTAGATGGGATCTGGGCCGCAGTGGCATTGTGCTTTAAGTGTTAAGCCCACTGTATGCTTTTGGAAATTATTCTGTTAAACAGCCCACACGCATCCAATAGCGACTCTAAAAAAACAGCTGTCCGTTATTACCCAGCTGCCCCCTCCCACTCCCGTCAGGTGTGGCTCCTGGTCCTGAACCCAGCCCAGCCTTCACTCGGGACAGGATTACCTCTACATCTTCACTGCAGCGAAGCCAAGAAGGACATTTATTTTAACAAGCATGTGCAGCAGATATGATTACGGTACGATATACTCCACAGACGTTGGGAGAATGCTGAGTCTGGAACAGAGAAGACTACGAGCAGACCTGATGCAGGTACAGTGTACAAAATCCATTGGGCTAAGTTTGAGGAAATCTTCAAAACCAACAGTGAAACAGGAATCCGAGCGGCACAAGTGGAAACTCAGTAGACGTGCATTTAAAATCTAGAACAAGACATTTGAAGCCAATGTCCTGGCTTCTTTCAAGAAGAAGGAATATCCACAGATTAATCAGCTATTAACTACCAACCTTGCTAGATAAGCAAAATGGCTTTTCGTCATTTGTAACCCTTCTAATGTTCCTATCTTCCGTTTCTTTGAGATGATGACCTGCCAGTCAAATCAAGTTCTAAAGGTTTTGTACTATGTCTTTGATCGTTGAAGGAAGAAGGTGCGAGTTTCTGATAGGGGAAAAAAAGGCTTTCATTTTTTAGAGCAGCATGTATGATATCTTATCATAACTTTTTCAATTTGCAATTTCTGAGTCTTGCTACAGTTGACAGCCCAGTTTGGAGTGTACTTACTCTACCAGCTCAGAGTGCAAAACACTCAACTCGGCAAACCAACCAACTCCACCTCCATACTTTTATATATTTTTACACAAATTGCCAATTAATTAGGTTTTTACTGATGTTCTTTTCTATATCAACTATGCTTTGTTGACCATATGCCTAATAACTTCAATGTGCATCGTGAGACTGTTCTCTTTATATCTTGAAGAGGGTAGTTATGTCACTGTTTGTTGACTGACAAAGATCAAGCAGAGGTTAATTCCACACTGAGAAGCAGAAAAAAAAAGACTATAACAACATTTTGGCTGTGCCAGTAAATAGTTTCTCCCTCTTGGATCAGTAAACCATAAGAACACCTTCACCACAATGTGACTTGTGGACACAGTGATGTTTCTTAAGTGAAGAGCGCACACACACCAGGGCATTTGAAAGTGACAGTACAAGCTCACAGCGTGTGAAGCAGCACTAAACCGTACATGGCAAGGATCAAAAACCCTTCATCCATTCATTCATTCCTTAACCACTTTGTCAAATACAGGGCTATGTGGGACCCAAAGCCAATCCACCCAGATAGCACCCTGAGAATTGAACCTAGGACCTCGGGGCTGCAGGGCAACAATGCTAACAACTGCACCACCATGCCACCCATGAACAATCACATTTTAATAGAACGGTATTGATCCTTCTCAGGTGTTCCCAGATATTTGTGATTGGTAATGAGTTATCTGGCGAGACATTGTCTTCCTTTCTCAGCCTCATCACAGTAAACTACAGGCAGCAATTTGAAAGGCTGGGACATACAAACTGGATCACAGCTCCTTAATGCTTTTGTTGGAGGGATGTTGCCACAACACACACACACACTGTTGTGGTCTCTTGCAAGCTTCCTTCCAGTAGGAGATTAGTGATACTCTCTGACCGGCACACAACTCCCATCAAAGTCAACAGTTCTTAAGCAAAAGGATTAAAACCAATATAGCAAACAAGGCTAAAAAGGTCAGAGGAGATCAGGAACTGTGCTCCGGACTGCATGGCAGGCGTTCTGCAAGATACGCCTCACAAAGACTGCTGGCAGGGCTTTTCTCTTCTCAGCCTGGTCCTTGCAGCCTCTCCACGTATCATCCCAGCTCCACACTCTGCTGGAGCCACAGGCAGGCTTCGAACAAAGACACACCGCATGGTCATCCCCGACCGAGAGGAATCTGCCCGACACGTCAAACCGGCTGACCTCAAAGTACCAGTATACAGCAAAGTCATTATTTTCCTCCCATTGTACGACAGAAAAAAAAGGGTTATCCAGTCCTTTGTTGTTGACGTTTTTTTCCCCTTTTACTTTCATGACACTTACATTTATTCTAACTCTGCATTTTTATCTGCCAAAGATGTCTATTGTGCGAGCGGAGAAAGAAAATTGAACTTTTAGTGAAAATTGCAAATTGCGTCATTTTTTCTTTTTTAACTTTTAACTTGCTGCTGTAGCAATTTTCAGTTTGAGATTAAAGCTGAGATTACTAGCTCGGAGCTTGGATTATAATAAAGTCGTAAAGCAGCTGTAATTTTTTTTTACAAATGGAACTATTGTCAACTATCCCCTGACCTTTTCCTTGTTCATTAATAGTAAATTCACTGCTGAAAATGACTTTGACTGTTGAAATGAAAAGTCTAATGAATTTGGGGGAGATTAAGGACTGAGATGACTTTAGAAGACACAGTTACAACAGATTTTGGTTTTTGATGTGAAATTGTATTCCCCATCCTCTTTTAGAGAAGTACTGCATCAAACTGTGCTGTTGAATTGCTCCCCTGCTGTGGATGTAAATTGAATTATTACTGCTGTATTCCGTCAACTGCCAACATGTGGTACGAAAGGGCTACCTATGATTAATGTAATTATAACCCAAGAACAATTAGATAATTTGTGAATATCAGAATGTTTCTTTCATCAGTACTTTTTTCTTTTTTAAAGAGGGCCTCAAACATGTCTGATGGGATCAGAGCTAGCGACAGCAGCTCCACCACCAGCAGAGCAAGCGGAGCTGAAAGCCGCCGTCCTCGGGCGAAACGCAGAGCGGCGCCCTCTTGTGGCGACGCAAGACGAGCCGAGGGCGGTGCTGCGGTCATCACCCGCCCTGGCTGTCCGACGGGATCTCCCTTTCGCTCCCGCGTCATTCCGCCCCAGGTGCGTCGGATACAGCACTCCAGCCCCCGGAAGCACAAAGCCAAGCTTTCCCAGCGCAGCGTCACGCCAAGGGCTGCGAGGGCCAGCTCTACCGCGAGACGCTCGGGTCAGGCTCTCATTGGCCGTGCGCGGGATGAATATTGATGGGAATATTCGGGCCCGGGCCTACCTTTTCCCTGCGGGCCCATGAATTCGGGAGGGGCGTCCCCTGCCGTGGGGGCTCTCTGCGTGTGGGCCGGTGTCGGTGTCCGCGGGGCCTCGCGGAGCCCCGCGCAGCTGGTAAAAGCCACACAACAGCCCCGCCCCTGAGGCTGGTGGAGAGAGGCGGCACACGAGCAGCGGGCTCTGGGGGCCCCCCTGTGGGCGCTGTCCAGGGGCCCCTGTCCGCAGGCCTGCTCGGAGCCCGTACTGAAGATGGGGGGACCTACGAGTCAAGAGAAGTGGGACTGCTGTTAAAGTGATCTGGCCCCGGACGGCATTCACACACGGAGCTACTGCAGGACCATCACTGCAACACATCCCGAGCGCTTTTCACTGTTGTTCCATTTTCCCCAAACACAGGGCGTTGTTCTGTATGTCCAGCGCTGCGGTCCTTGGTCCAGGGGCAGTATCGCAGCCCTGTGGGAGCCCTGGATTGTCTTTCAAAGCTCAATACCTGCGCAGGTGATACAAGCGCCTGATTGTGCGGATAATCCTTCGGGCAATTAGGTTCTTGAAGTAAAAGAGGCGAATAAAAACTGAGTGAGATGCTCACGAGTCAAAACATCTGATCCGAACTCATCTGCCTCTGAAACATTTGACTCTCGCACTGACATTGGGTTCTTATGATCTGATGAGGTTCTATTCAGAATTCACTGTTCCCAGACTCTTGAGAAAGGCTCGATCTTTTGAATTAAAGCTCGTTCAAGTCTATGTCCCCTTTATTAAAATAACTGAAACAACTGGAAGCTGTCAGATTAAGAACACAGCCGCTAGGATACTCTGCCAGAAAAAACATCAAGCATTGATATATAGAGCCAGGAATCATCATGTTGCTTATCTTATTACAATATCCTTACAACGGACCAAGAACGGCATGCAACATTAATTTCAAACAGTGGCTCATTCAGCAGTAATTCAACATCTTGGCAAACTTTGTAAAGGGATCAAGCATTAGAAATCAGCAAAATGTGTAACGATTAAACTGTCGCGTTTGCTCGTTCTGTTTCAAATTTTGTTCCATCAACACTGAAAGTGCGCAGAGTGATGCAACAGGAGCGGCTGTTAATACCTCACAGCCTTACAGCTCCAGGGTCCCGGGGTCATTTTCACACTCAGAAATCTGGGTGCAGCTTGCATGGCGTGTGAGTGGTTGTGTGGTTTCTCCCACCTCTCTAACACATGCCGTCTAGGTTAGATTGGCTGCCCCAAACTGACCCTTATCCTGTGTCCCTGTGATGGACAGGCACCCTGTCCAGGGAAGAGACCAGCCAAGAGCTCTCAGTCCTGCCTTAGAATAGAATTGAACACCAGGTTTAC